CCCCTACCAACCAGACCCGTTTGAATTTGGCCAAAGTCACCTGTTCTGACTCTGGATTGTTCTGCACCCACAGTTTGACCTTCCTCCAATGACAGCGGATTTCTGCTTCAATCATCTCTTTAGTCGCTGCCCATACCTTCTCCCGCGGGTTCTTCGTGCTGTCCAGAGTTCTTTTTTTTTTGTTGTTGAAAAAACGGGGCCTTGTGGTCCCGTCTCCATTCTATTCTGGGGAGCGTCAGTCCGGTTCCTATTCCACCGGCAAGTCAAGAAATAGTACATCATTGGGACTCACTCACGCTTCCTTCCGTCTCGCCGAAGGACCCCTGGACAGCATTGATCTCAGCGGAGGATTGACTGCCAGCTTGCCCATCCCCTCTCTTTCCTCCCAGACCGAACATTTAGGTCTGCCAGATGCCATCGTTTAACCTAGAAAAAGTCCCTCTATTGTCATTATCAATCTGATGATCTCTTCCCACTCCGCCTACTTTTCCTTTTGCCTGAGCAACCGCTAAAACCCTAAACCCTAAAACCTCGTCTTTTTGTAGCAGCTCCGGTATATCAACCTTACTGCTTCTGGCCCTGTATCTTGTTGCAATCTCCTTCCCGCAGCTACTCGTTTTTTTGCAATTGTGTCGTTTGTTGTCTGACCCTTGTCKTCCCACATCCTATCCTTATGTCTACCACCTTTSTATCATTGTGTCCACCGAACACCGACCTCCGTCTTTCCTTTGATTCCATCTTTGTCCATGTCTCCTCACCCTGCTCCTTGTTCAGAAATCCCCCTTGCTCTTATTCTTATCGGTCTGCATCCAGATCCCCATTGTTGTGTGCCTGAAGTAGTAACTCGAGAGCTGAGCTGTCTCAATTAGGATTGCTGTCCAGAGTTCTGCTGCATCTCTCTTTCCATATATCAACCCGAACCAGACTTTCTCTGGATTACCAAAATTAGAGGGTAAATTAGTCCAGAGGAGCAGTTGGAGGGGGTGTTCCGGGAGGGGAGATGAGAAAAGACTGTCCCATAGGGCTGCTGCTCTTGCCCAATAATCTGTGGCTTCTTTACAGTTAATTAGGCAGTGTATCAAATCTTCCTGTTCCTGGTCTGAGCAGACTGTGCAGACACCCGAGCTGGTTGGATCGTTCCTTTCCTTCTCACATGTGCAGACACCCGAGTCTGACAGGTAGTGCCACGTATGTTATGAGCCACTGCATGCTTCTGATTTTTATGGGTCTTATCGTTTTATATTTCTTCCATGGAATTTTTGCTATCTGGTCTGCCTCAGAACCAATTAACTTGCACCATCTTCCTTTGATTATTGGGTCTGGGTCCTTTGTTTTTAACAACATTTTATACCCTAGTTTAACTGTATAATCAGATATTGGGATTGGTGGTTTCGTAGTTCTGTTTCAGTCAGAGGGCCAAGCCCATTCTGAGGGATCGAACTCGAGGTCGTGAATTGCTGTCCCTATTTGAAATATCTGTTTTGGCCAGAGTCCTAATGTTCTTATTTTACGGAGTGTGAACGCATTCAGAACTTCTCTTTCGGGATTGATATTCTGGATGTACGGTTCGTCTGGCTTAGTCTTCAATATCAGGAAGGATGTGAATACGTCTCTTGGATTTGAGCCAGATATTCGATGGGAGAATCCGTAGGCCCTCTCAGGGGAGGTGACCTGGATTGGGATTCCCCATTCACCCGCTTTCCACGTGAATTCGAAATTAGATCTGATTTACACACAAAAGGACATAACACTGGCTATTAAGCAATTCTCAAGGGACTGGCTGGGGAATGAGCAGGGGGGCTGGATGGGTTATGTTCACTGGGAAGGAGGCAGTCTCCTGGAACGCAGAAACGACAACTTGAGACGAGATTATAAGGTGGACACAGCGATTCCGTTACACCCCCCCTCGGAGTTACCAGACCCTTTTCCGCCGCATGGCCTTTCAATGGCGGACCTCCAGTGGTATGGAGCAGAGTGAGCTGCATTTGCAAGGAAGGATGGGGGCTAGATGGCCGCAGAGTTCAGGCGCCTGGCAGCAGGGCTGAAGAGGCCCCTTTTTCCTCCCTACTTGCACAC